AAAATTAAGATATGGCCTTTTCTTAAGGTTGCCTGACATTGTTGGCACACTTCCTTACAGTCTCCTTACTGCTGGAAAAACTTCTGCACAGTTGGTTTTTTTTTTTAAATATATACATATACATATATATATGTGTGTGTGCGCATATGTATATGCACATAAGTATATATATACACACACACACCCTGGCTTAGCAATATTTCATTGTCATGCACTACAAACAGTTAGGTGTAGCTACATGAGATGGTAACAGGTTTCCATTCTAAAAATCATCAGTGCAAAAAACAATGAGGTTTTACAGTTCAGTAACTACAGGTAAAAGAAGCGAGTCTAGTTCCCATGAAAGCTGCTACTGAACTCGGAGAGAACCTGGGAAGAAGAAAAATGTCTCAGAGGTGGGTGTTGAGAGAGTCAGACCCTGCATTTGGATGAGAACTGCAATGCAATCTAGCTGCTGAGTGCCTTCAGCTGCTTCCAAATATACGGTGGTTACTTTTGGAAATAATATATAGCGAGAATATTTGGAGACGTTAACAGCAAATTAAGTGTCTGAGGTTTGTAACAGCTCAAACAAAATAGCTTGTATTCCTCTTTTAATAGGTCAACGCATTAAATTCCATCGGCTTCTAAAAGGTCTCTTTAAAAAATAACAGTAATAACAATAACGACCCCACTTTCTTGGGCGTGAATCTGCCGACGTTCTGCCTCTACCAACAGCATCGATACATCTTTATATGCTTTGCCACTGCACGTACTCCTTGAGAAAGTGGCTGAACTTGAAGCTCTTTGTACAGGTCAAGCTCTCGGTTGCTCTGCCTGGCACAGCCCGTGATAAATCCCTCGCCTGGGGCTGCCTGTGCCGCGGAAACGGCACGCTCATCGAACCTCAAACTTGCCCCGTGCCGGCACCGGCAGAACACCTCAGTCTGACTCCTGGGACAACCCAGAACAAGTTCCCCCAGCCTCATCCCCTGTTCCTGTGGCTCTGAGGACAGCACTCGGTCACGCATATTGGAGCGATGGCTAACAAGGTGAGGAGGCACGTATTTACAGTCGCTAAACCTGGATAAGAGAAGGAGGCAGGAGAGAGCGCGATCTTGACCTGGAGACTTCCCCCCCCACCAATTTCCAGCTGTTGCTTGGGCTCACGCTGCACAAACCTGACGCTCCCACTGCAAGGCCTGCACGTTCTGCGCGGGAAACATCCCGTCTCTTCCCAGAATACCATGATGTTATTAGAGTAGCACCATATTTACCCTTCCAGCCCGTAACGCCGGCCTCATCCCTCTTTCCTTTTGTTTTCTCCTCCGGTGGAGAGTAGCACCATATTTACCCTTCCAGCCCGTAACGCCGGCCTCATCCCTCTTTCCTTTTGGGTGGCTGCAGCCGACAGTCACTGGCTCTGGCCTGGCTACTTCTGCCCCAAGAGGCCAGACTCCAGCCGGGATGCTGTGCTCCGGCCCCAGCACCCCGTGGCGATGCTCATGCTTCTTTGGCTGCGTTCCCTGTCCCTCTCCTTGTCGCTGTCGGACTGGCTCTGGGTGCGCTCGGGGCGGGGGCCGGCGGGGCCCCCCGGTGGCCGAAGCCGGG